CCCCCCTTCTAATTCTACACATGTTATAGAGATGCACCCCCCCCTTTTTAATTCTACTCATGTTATAGAGATGGGACCTGCAGCCCCACACTTTAGCGTCTGAGCTCACCTCTAAATATGGAATGTCTTTTGTCGCATATAGGAATGCAAAGATGGCCGCAGGAACAGATTCTAAAGCCGATACATCAGTTCCTGAAAGAAGAAAACGTTACTTAGTACATTTTGATGGATACACTCACTGAAGGAACTGGTTTTAAGACAGTGAATATAAAAAGAAAAACATGTCAATATTAACATAGATCTGCTGAACATTTTTTTAAGTTCCTTTTTTTTTGGTTGCTTTTTGTTAAGATCTTGATTCAGTCATAATAGCTTGATATATTGTTACTTATTTGTTACAAATTTGAAACTGTGCATTTTCATATCTATTTACAAGCTTGGCACATTTCCAGTCGAAGTATGTTCATTTATTGCAAAATATTACTGCACCTACTTAACCGTTTCAACAGGATATGCAAAAGCCACCCTGAATTGTAAGTAAAGGGACATAACTCTATAAAAATTGCTAATTTGACAAATAAATTTTACACTGGCGTCAACCCTGTATAGGAATTTTATTGAAATTGAGGCAGTACATTAGGAGAAATAGTAGATCATTGCAAATGTTGACAGCATTATAAATGTGTACAAATATTATTTTAAAGAAAATATCGAACTTTAGTTGTCACAACTTTTTAAATGATTTTTTTTCTATTTCTGGGTCTGTTATTTTTCGTATTTCTCATGCTATCACAAGTCTCTCATTCAACATGTCTACAATATCACCTAATCAATCAAATATGAATTAGTCAAAAGAATTAAATTTTAGATCACACCTTACCTATACTTAATTGGATGAAACTGGCTAGAAAAATGTCACCTGAACACAATTCATTTGACTAGTATACTCGTGTATATATATATATGCAGGTCTCCCAGTGGTCAACCAGGAATGCTCTGATATTTCAAACTGGTACACTTTGTCTTTAACTAGATTTTACACTATTGCCTTGAGCTGTAAATTTTCACTGCATTGTTGTATCATACAGCAGCGGGGAATCGCCCTTCGTAGAAATGGTCTAACGTCACGCCAACTGTCGATGACCACAGAGAACTGACACAGAGTTTGGGTTGATGTTCCTTTTATACATAGTACAATATTTAACTGAAGATTCTGATAGTACTGAAGAAGATAAACATCTACATAGAGAACAAGGTTTATTTTAATTAACCTTACCCAATTCTTCATCAATTTCCTCTGGTGATGGTGGGGCCTCCTGTTTTAAAAACGTTTTGATCTTTTCTAATTTATCACAGTATGGATGTTCAGAGGCAGAACTCCTGCAAAAAATAAGAATCAGAATTAGTAGCAAGTTCATTATGCCAAAAATGCGAGCACAATTGAAAGGTAGGTCCACAAGAAAATATAGTCGATATTTTCTTTTCATTATTCTGTTGCCACCTTTTTCCATGGAGTCTACGTACTGTAACTGAGCTGTCATCTAACATAACGGCCGTCACAATGTATCGGAAAACCAGTATATCGCTATACAGACATATTGTATCGTATCGAAATACAGAAATAAAATATCACTTTATCGCAATACTTTTCTAAAGCTTATTTTTATGCATCTACTTGGTGTTTTAACCTCGCAAATCACTACACATTTAAACAAATATGTCAATAACCATAAACACAAATCTTAAATCTGTGTGACCAACTTGATTCAGTTTGATCACATTCCAACAACAATTTCTCCCTCATTAGACAGTGATATCAACACTTCCAGTCAGGGAAAAATAATTGTCTTTCCCCAAGATGGGGGGGGGGGGGGGTCATCCCCCTGTCGTAATAATTGTTTGACGTCAGGTCAACAATGCAATGACATCAAAATCAACAATAGCATATCACTGAAGATAGCTCTGATTTACTGGAAATTATGAAATCAACCTTTGTATTTAATGTGGGAGAAAAATAATCTTTCCCCACATTTGGGGAAAGACAGAAAAATCCCAACCCTTGGAGTAAGATTCTTAGATGTCTGGCCCTCGGGTATTAAAGAAAACTGAGCTGTTAAAATCCATCAAAGCTAAAGATGGGTACGTGTAGGAGAATATGTGACACAGTCAGCAGTATCGAGTTGTTATAATTGGTTAAATCTAGTACAGGTCATCATGTAGAGAACAGTCAACATAAAGGTATACATGACAGGCACTAATGAATTCAGAATCATTCATGTGTATAATCTAATGACCAGCGACGCATGTACCAATACAAGAGGCCCAATGGGCCTGCATCGCTCACCTGGTATAAAACTCACACTTGTAACCTTAAAAGTGATCTAAAATAAAGCTACAGGCAAAATATCAGTATTTATGATTCGTTCAAAAGACAATTATTTTTTTTAAAACATTTCACCCCTGTGATTGAAAGTTGAACAAAGTCATTATGTTGAACACATTGTATAGCCTTTCATCTCAGGATGAAACTTGCAAAGTATAAACATCCTGGGACCCATGGTTATTCATAAGAGGTTGTTTAAAGATTTTAAACAAATTTGACCCCTGTGACCTTGAATATAAGTCAAAGTCATTCACTTTAACAAACATAGTAGTCCTTGATCCCAGCATATGCTACTAACTAAATATCAACATCCTGAGCCTTTTGG